TGAATAAAATGCAAACAGTGTACCCAAAATAACATTAGATATTCAGTAGATTGTCAATATCAAAATAAATCAAACTCTGAAAATCTGATTACTACTCTAGTATAAGCAATTACAGAATGAGTGTCCCTAACCCTGCAATCCAAAATCCAAAATGCTCTAAAACCCAAAACTTTAAGAGGATCAACGTGATGCTCGAAGCAAAGGCTCATTGGAGCATGTCAAATTTTGGATTTTTGGGTAAGGAATACTCAATATGTGTTGTACGTCTTTTCAGATTAGGGCAGTGGTGAGTTTGCATGCAGGGGATGGGTGGAGGTGGGTCTGGATGGATGCAGGGCGCTTACCATGCACTCAGTTGACCCTTTTCTACAACCAAGGCTCTTTGCTCCATAGACTAAGGTTAAAAGTATACCCAGAATGACCACAGTCTGTTTTACATAATCAAGAGAAGCTAGCTTCTTTTTATCTGACATTTTCCGCAGCCTCTTGAACAAAATATCTATTTCGCTATTACGTTTCAAAATTGTTAGATACAATCTCTAGGAAGACAAGTAGAAGAGACTTAAGTTCGAATTCAGAAAAACTGGATTCACATCTTGACTTTTTTCTTAAAATACCATTTGAGCTGAGGCAAGAAATATAACCTCTTACTTTAATTCCTTCAGCTGTAAAATGTATAGCTGAGAATAAGACCCCACCAACTCTAAAATTATCTGAACCACTAAGCAAGATAAAGCAATGAACTAATTTAATTATGGTCTTCCAGCATAACTAGGTTGCTGTATCAGGAGGACTCTCCGGAAACACATTATTTTTCTCTCCTTCTGGCTTGAATGTATTATGTTTTCTGTCATGACTGCATAATGGATAGTCTTGAATGCCTTCAATTAAATATATTCAAATTCCCTAAAGCATGCAGTAATCTTGATTAAAATATCAACAGTTTATTACAGATGGAATAGTTCCAAAAGAAGACAATGCTCTTCAGGTAGCAGGTGTTCCTGCATTTTATTCAAAAGGCCGGCTGAAAAGATGCAAAGGTCTTTTGTTGCTTGTGGAGACTACCCAATGAAAACAAACTGTCAAAAACAAAGTCCATTTAAAAATTTCCCTCAGATTATTTTTAGTGTATTAATGTATACATGTTACTCATCATTAATTAACTCCATCAGGAAACAAGTGACTAGAAAATAGGTAAAATAGTGGGAATAAAATTAAATATATCTGTAAAATGAGTTAACTTTCATGTTGTAAAACCCTTATTCTACTCTTGGTACTTGTTTTATTTTTTGTTTTAAATATTGGTCTGAAAGGCAATGCATTTAAATTTAATGAGAAATTTAATACTGAATACAAATGAATTTAAAAGGTAAAAATGAGAAATGTTAGCAAGAATAAGGACACCATTTTAAAAATCAACTATTTCAAAATTCAGAAAAAGATATGGTCCACTTATTTTAACTTAGATTATTAACATCCAAATTTCCTTCTTAGAAAGACATGAACCAAACCAATTGCACAGACTTCCTAAACTTAATTTCAGAATACCTGAGTTCCAGTCATATTTGATCCACTTACTGGTGACCTTGAGTTTATACTTTAGCCCATCTGAGCTTCTCTTGACTCACTCATAAAATGAAGGAGTGGAGTAATAGAGATTGTCAGTGCTTCCCACGGGCTGAATCTCACGCACACAGTGTTTGGCTTGGCCCAAGCAGAGAGTGAGAATCGGTTATCCTACCTGGTAAACTCTTTGATCTCATACAAAACAAACTGTATTTTAAAAACTGTTTTTCCTTCAAAGAAGTTTAACTACATGCTTTTAAAGGTTTTTTTTTTCCTCTCATTTATAAATAAAGCAAACTTCAAGGAAAAGAAAAAATGAATATCAATTTCTAAGTTTTCTTATCCTCTTGTTATTCACCCATTACTTGATTAAAGACACAAAAATGATATTTTAGTTGCATCTCTCTAATGAAAAGTAGCGCTCATGTAACCAAAGGCAAAAAATTCAGAAAAAAATGTATAAAATATGTAAGAGGTAATGTGATACTGATTTCTACCAAATGTTCTCAAAAGCAATAGCTTTGCTTTATTGGGCTTTCTCTGAATTTACTTTATTACAGGAGTCATTTAAAAATCATATATGGTCATTCTAAGAACCTTGATTCATCTTTTTTTCTAAAAAGTTATTTTATACAATGTGTATAGATCTGGGTAAAAGGGGATCTTCATTTCAATATTAAAGTCAGTGTGGAACACTTGTGGCTCATGGTTGGGGGTAAACAAATGAGTCTTGGACATAGACATACTTGGATTTTCATTCCCACCCTGTCATTGACTGGGTATTTAGCTACAGGTGGTAAAGTTATTTCTGTGACTCCTCTACGCCTTAGTAAAATAAGGCTCTCATTATTTAACTCAGAGGGGAGTGCTAAGAAATAACATAAGTGATGGTGTTCTATAAATGGCATATTTATGTATACATTGTTGTACTGATCTATAATCAATATTACCCCATATAAATGATGCTACCAGTAAATTATTGTTCAATAGTGCATGATTTTATATCTGATTCCATGCATATGTTTCAGATTGAGATGACAGATTCTTCTTCAGACTAGACTTGAGTGTCATGCATGTAATGCACAGTAGCCATTCCTTCACAAGGGTTGTCCTAAATAAGGGTTGGCTGCAGCCCAGCCACAGCCTCTGGGAGGCCACCACGTTTTTCTCCATCTAGCAGTTCGTTTTCTGAAGATCTGAGAGGGACACTTGAAGCCTAAAACTTCAATGCCTTGCTCTTGAGATTTTACAATCGGTTTGATGGACTAGAATAATCTCCAATTAACAGCCAATTAGCAGGAATCTTTCGTAACATTGAGACACTCAGAAAAGGGAGGCTAGGATAATTTGGCCAAGGCCAGTTCTCCAAAGGTTGAGTCTTCCAGATTGGATGGGACTCAGAGTGGAGGGAAAAGATGGAAAATACAGAAGTGGGCCTTCTTAAGAATAGACAGGGAGAGCTAAGCCAGAGGGAGCACATGTGTATACCGGAACACTTTAAAAGACAAAGAGTAAAGAAAGAAAGAATTCGGAGGCAGAATCCTTGTCTTTATTGGGTTTACCATCTAGCTAGGATGCTTTCAAACTAACAAGCAAGGTAAAATCTAGCGTGATTTTACATAGAGAGAGACAGATAACTACTTTGTAATGATGGTTGAAAATATATATCTCATTAATCACCAAGATGAAATGATTGCCTTAACGTACATGAATATAAAACTAATATATGTTATGAGACATTTCTTCACAATCAACTTGACTAGTTAAGTATAGGCATATACTTTTTAATTGTGTGAGTGTGTGTGTGTGTGTGTGTGTGTGTGTGGTAGAAAGATAGACTTTTTAAAATGCTGTTAAATTTCCCTAAGAATCAACTACAGGAAGCACAGGAATTCTATGACTTGGTAGAAAGACTAATATTGCAAAATGGTTTAATATTACACTTTCTAGAAATATATAGTTTGTTACTATGCGAGAACTGAAATGTAAATACTATTTATTTTAAAATAATTAAAGCAAAGACCACCAGAGCCGTGCAAAATCTCTCATACGATACACACCACAGAATCAAGTATCACATTCCAAGAGTGCCAGCAAAGTCCTCTTATGAGAACTTTCAGCTCTATACTTCTGTAAGTTTCCGTCTTTAAACATAACAATGCTTCACGGTGGTTCTTGCAACATGTATTTTATTAGGCAGGCTTTTGTGCATCATTATAGAAGAGTCTTAAGTTATAAAGTCAATTCCAGTTTCCGATAAAACATAGATTCTGCAGACGTAAACTGTTGAGAAGTATACGCTCTTTGGTATTCAGCTAAGGCATTTTCTACCAGTGCCAGGGCACTTCCCCAAAGCTCATGTGTGATTAAAAAAAAACAGCAATGGTCTCCACAGCGTGCTTTAAAGTAAGCTTTCCTGGAATTCTACCTAGATTCTTGATATAAATACACACATACCTGTGTGTGCACATATATACCTTCTTTCAGTGGCTGTTTTAACTCGATAAAGAGTAAAGGTGTTTGACCAAGTCTCATTAATATTAATATTTACTGTGTTATTTCGTTCTCTGAACACTGTCATTTTGTTATACTAAATTAAAGCTCGGACAGAAACATCCAATTAATCCTCAGTAAGAAAATGCATTGCTGTGTCACAGTTAATAAGCAGTTCCATGTAATCATACCTTGATCGTTCTCCTGAGTAGTTCAGCCCTTTGCACAGTATGCTTGGAACCAGAATGTTTATTATTAGTTCCCTTAATGATTGCTCATATGTGAGGAAACATGGACAGCTGCTCTTCTTTCAGATATACAAATAATCTATTTTCTTTTATTGAAAAGGATAGGGAAGGAAACAACTAAATAGAAAGAAGAAATGTATGTGTCCCATATTAATTATTATTATATAAGGAGTCTCTGGGATTCAGTCACAATCATAGGATGTGATGTTGAAGTCAAAGCTGGCTCTCACACCCCAGCTTACCAAACCCCCTGGATCATTTCAGCCATAGTAGATGGAACCTTTGAAAAACAGGGGGCCTTCTCTAGCCAAGTCAGGAATGTTGTAACAAACTCTCCCAGGCCACATAACACTTACAGAGAGGGGGCCAAGTATGGTGGCTCATGCATGCAGTCCCAGCACTTTAGGAGCTTGAAGTGGGAGGACTGCTTGAACACAGGAATTTGAGACAAGCTGAGGAGACATAGTGAGACTCAATGTCTACAAAGAGTATAAAGGTAGCCAGGCGTGGTGATTTGTGCCTGTAGTCCCAGCTATCTGGGAGACAGAGGCAGGAGGATCACTTGAGTCCACGAGTTGGAGGCTGCAGTAAGCCATGACCGCACTATCGCACTTCACCTTGGGTGACAGAGTGAGACTCTGTCTCTAGAACAAAATAAAACAAGCTCAGAGCCATTAGAGGCCACATTCCTACCTTGATGAGAACCTGAATGGACCCTGTGGCCTTTGTAGATATGAAATACCAGAAGCTCATGGTGCAGGCTGCACTGGATTCTCGCCACATGGCACTCCTGAAGTGTGCTTTGTCACCCCGAAGGCCCACTGGAGTAGCCTCCAGATACACAAAGTGCCCTAGGAACAAGGACAGAATTCAGAGAAGACCAAAAACACAATGACAGGATTATTTTAGCTATTCCATTATAGTTAGAGTTTTTAATGACAATTCATATAATGTGAGCTGCCAAAAGTATTTTCATTTGGAACAGGAAGAAAATCTAATAGCCTTGTCTCTAGCTTACTGACAGAACAATTTGCAATGTGCTTTTAGCACGTGCTTCACAGTATGCAGATTAACTGATCTGATGGGATATCAAATCAACAACATAGTGACAAAAATTTATTTTATAGATCTCCCAAACTATCAAGTGATTTTAAGATAATGCAAAGATTACCTATGACATCTAAAAAAGGAGTGATACTGTGTGCTTTTAAAAATTCAGTCATCTGTTGAGTGTGTAAATAGAATACTGAAAATTTTAATAAGCAACATGAGAAAAAAGGTATTCAGTTTGTTCTTGTACACTGACATATCCAAAACATTTCACGTATGTAGAGCTGAGTGTTTGAATGAGACTTTGGTCTTCCTTTCTCTGGCTTTAGGTCAACCTTTTTTTATTCATAGGCCTACAGAAGTTCAATATTTAGACTCTATTTTTGCAGCATCCAGGGATTCAGGGTCCCTTCTTCACTCTACTACTATCCTTAATCCCTTTACCAAGGAAGCTGAGACTTGATCTCAGCTACTCACTACAAAAAAGAGCCATGCCCAATGCCCTTAACATATGTGGCTTTATAGTTAAATTTTCATGGCATCTCCTTAGGTTTCAAACTCTTTTCCCCTCATATACATCATCTCTACAATCTCTGTGAGGCACCCCGGTCAAATTTTATTATCTCAAAATGGCAGATGAGGAATTTGAGAATCTGAAAAGTTAAATGACTTGCTAATGATCATATAAATGGCAGAATTCAGGGTTAATGATTACAAGTGTGTACCATTTAGGAAAGATGTCTGATGGCAGCATACATTATCATCTAACTTCAATTACTGAATTAGTGATGAATATTAGATTTTGACTAAAAGCTGTTATGGTCTGAACTGTGTTCCTCCCTTCCCCAAAACATGCCAAAGTTCTAACTTCCAGTTCTTATAAATGTGACCTTCTTCGGAAATACGGTTTTTGCTGATGATCAGGCTACGAAGAGGCTATTAGGATGGACACTAATCCAACGTGGCTGGTTCCTAACCAAAGGGGGAATTTGGACCTAGAAACAGGCATGCTTATAGAGCAGATGATGTGAAGACATAGGGAAAACCATCATCTACAAGCCAAGGAATTACTGAAACTACCAGAATCTAGGAGGGGACATGGAAGAGAGGATTCTCTCTTACATTCCCTGAGAAGGAACCACCACCGTTGCCAGTATCTTGATCTTGGACTTGCAGCCTGCAGAAACTGAGACAATAAATGTCTGTTGTCTAAGCCATCCACTCTGTAGCCCTTTCTTATGGCAGTCCTAAGAAAAAAATACACTCACTAAATATTCGATCGCCTTGCAATATCACCATGGTGGTCTCTCCAGAGCTCCCTACCTCCTGTCATAAAAGACATTTTGATGTACATTGTGAATATCACGTAAAAGCAATTACCACACCCTAATAACCCACCATTTTCATTTCCAAGTGTGTGGTCTTTGGGAGGTCTTAAGCTTTGATGGGAGCCAACCCCTAAAACCCAGTCAAAGTTGTCAGCCAGGGAGTTTTTCCAGCCACACCAGCCTTTTTCAAAAGTACAGGAGCTGCCACACTCATTTTCATCAGTATTATCTCCACAGTCATCTATGAAGTTACATCTTTCTTCCAGTCTATAGCATTTGCCACTCTGACATTCCCAATAGCCAAGTGGACAGAAATCTACAAAAAAGAAAAAGAAAAATGAAACAAAATTAAACAAAAAAGAATGAGGGAACACTCCTAACACATTCAGTGCGGTCAGAAAGCGTTAAGAGTTGATTCATTTTAATGTATAAAGGAATGTATCATTCTTAGGAATTTGAGGTAACTGAAACCCATCTCTCTGTCTCCCAGTATGCTCCAGTGATCTTTAGATCACTCATGAAGATTATTCACATACGCCAAAGAAAAGCATTGCTTTATTGATCTAGGGAAGTACCACCCCCATCTCCCCAAATGTAGTATTCCTTGTAAACTGTGTTCAAGGATGTAAATTATGTCTGAGAGCCAATGTGAGGCCTACTATTTTTTTTTTTATCCTGAAACAAAATATTTAAGGCATTAAGAGGTCATGTATTATGTGGCATTTGGAAATACCTTCCGTTAGCATCTGTTCACTCCAATACTTTTCAGGAGCCATTATATGTACGATACTTCCTTAAAAGCAGGGCTATGCATATATAACTAATAACCAACCGTGTTTTTCTCTAAAACACGTTATTTATTTGTGTATAAAATTTGTGGAGAAATGGTCACAAAGTAAAATGGGACACATAGTGCTATGATCCTGCACATTTTCTACAGGTAGACTGAAAAGTTGGCTATAAGCTTCTTACTGACCAGTGAGAAAAGAAAATAAAGTTGTGATGTGATTGAACACTTATCACCATAACCAATTTTTCTCTAAAACACGTAATTATTTACGTACAATTTGGAATTTTAGAAGCAATTTTCTGCAATGCAATGTCAACCATAGAGATTTGTTCACAAAACATGAGAAAGAGCAATGCTTTTAAAAATCTAAGTTTGACCTCTAGTGCTGATATTTATTAGTAATGTGACTTAGCTCATACCAACATTTGATAACTTTAGTTTCCCTCTATCAAAAGAGAGAAGAAGAGCAAAATCCTAGAGAACTTAAGCTAATTTAAGAGAGTATGGTGCCCGGCCCTTAGTGTGTGATTAATTAATTTTAGTCAAATAAATGAATGAGTGAAATAAAGTGCTTTGGAATCAGATAGTTTTGAATGTATATTGAAAGTATTATTATTATACTACTCCAACATTACAATAGAATTTAACTGTCATAGGTAACAATATTTCAATAGAAAAAGTTGTTCAGAAATCCAGCTTGGGTTATCAACTTCACATTTGTTCTCTGACACTACAGGATCTGACATTTTCTTTCTTCTTGTCTTCCCCTTCTTCAGGTAGAGGAGCTGATAAAATCACTCCTTGCTTTACTTCAAAGGTGGTAGCCCCCATGAACCTCTGGGGGCAAGTTACCTGGCAGATGAGGGTTGATGTGGGTCACAGGGGATGAACTTCAGATATTTGTTATAAGGTTTTGTGGGAGCTGGAAACTGCTGGTGATAAAACCACATATAGGAGGTATACATTCTGGATAAATCGACTTAGTGCAAATAGTCTTTTCACAAGAGAGGGAGTTCCTTGCTTGGATATTAAGGTCAATTAGAATAATGTAACAGCACTTTGGGAGGCCTAGGTGGTTGGATCATTTGCAGTCAGGAGTTTGAGACCACCCTGACCAACATGGTGACACTTCGTCTCTACTAAAATACAAAAATTTAGCCAGATGTGGTGGTCGGCACCTGTAATCTCAGCTACTTGGGAGGCAGGGAATCACTTGAATCCAGGAGGCAGAGGTTGCAGTGAGCTGAGATCATGTCATTGCACCTCAGCCTGACAACAGAGTGGGACTCCATCTCAAAATAAAAATGAATAATGTATCAACTCTCACCTCCTTAGCTTTTAAATGTTTTTATCCTCCATTGTTTGTTCAAATAGTGCACAGTATCAAAGAACATCCACCTAACTGGTGCGAGGAAGCAATTTGTGATGTCTGAAACCCCCCACTCCACCCCATCCCACGTTAACAGTATTTTGACCCTGCACATGTAACTGGTTCTTAAGGGGCTCCTCAGAGAAGCAGGAACTCACTGCAACACAACTTAACCATCTTATTAACCACAGATTCATTAGCCCAGATTATATAAGGGTAGAAATCATCTGAGGAAATGAAATACAAGACAGTTATACTTTGAAGAAGCTCAAGGCAAGGAAAAGAAGAAATTTCTTCTTCAAATGTTTGGTAAATCAGAGCCTGGAGATTTTTCTTTTTCTTTCTTTCTTTTTCTTTTCTTTTTTTTTTTTTTTTTTTTTTTTTTTTTTT